TCTGTAGGTTTTCCAACACAATGTAATGTAAATAGACCATGTAATAAAGCATTTTATTATTATTACTATTATTATTTATTACTAGCACCAAAACCCTCCCCGAGATCAGGAAATGAAACGTTACACAGCTCCAGTATTCAGGCCTGTAAGCGTCCTGTTTCAACTGGATCTACAATATAATCAGAAGAAAGCCAAGCCCCTTTCTTACACATCTCAAACCGCAATATATTACTTTCTAGATGTTTCAGAAAGAGTAACTCCGACATTTTTAACATTAAATAGTTCATTACCTTGAGGACAGATTATCCTCCTGTGTCTTCCTGAACCAAACTGCGCAGTTTGTTTTTGCTCTTCATTCCTACATCTGATACAGTTTTCCTCTTCAGCTTCATAATCCACACTGTAACACCACACACTGCTACCATTTTCTGTAATTCGTTCATTTTGTATGAATTTAACAGCAACAGTGAAAAATGTCCAGTACAGAATGAGTCATCAAAGCAGAAAGCAACCACAAAACTGCGCAGAATAGGAAACGCTGCACAGTAATATGACTACAGCTCAGTCCAGACGCCCCACTCCAATCCCCGCCCCCCGAGTCCTGAGTCTGATCTGTGATTGGACAGGATTAGACAGAACGCTGTTTTGCGTTATATGACGGGACTTGAGAGGAAATCAATCCCCAGCTGTAGCCATCCTTTTCATTTGATTGCAGTTGAGAACTTTTGGTAAAAACAAAAACAAACAAACAATCAGCGACAACAAAAACGTGAGTACAGCATTTTTATATACATACGGAAAATAGTAGGAATTAGGAATTTTAGCGGATTTTTTTCTTTTCATAATCACATCAATTTTATGAACATATTAAGTTTTAACACTGGTAGCCTAAACATGTGTCACTTTAAACATTTTACATGAATGTCTAATAAAAAAAATAAATAAATAAATTAAAAAAAGGTGTAATGTAACCCACATTATGTGTCAGGTGTGTGTAGTTTTCCTCCGTGTTTCTGTCAGTTCTTCACTTTACATTCCCCATCTGTACAGCTCACACATGCACATTATTATTATTATTTATTTAGGTCTAATTATTTCCATTCGCATTTATACAGAATCGACTTTATGATGCGGTATTTACAGTATTTACAGGATTCCCCCAAAAATGCGTTTTTCTGAATATTCCTGATGAACAGTGCTTCCTAGAATAAACTGTAGTGAACCTCATGCAGGACAGAAGAATGCTGCACAGGGAGACTCATGTACCACGTGACTGTGCAGCGTTTCCTGTTCTAACCCTCTTGGGGTTGCTTTCTGCTTTGGTGACGCCATCTTTACTGGAAGTGTTTCAGTGTCGCTGTAACACTGATAAAACGGGGAATTTGGGCGAAATGGTAGCAGTGTGTGGTGTTACAGTGTGGATTATGAAGCTGAAGAGGAAAACTGTATCAGATGTAGGAATGAAGAGCAAAAACAAACTGCGCAGTTTGGTTCAGGAAGACACAGGAGGATAATCTGTCCTCAAGGTAATGAACTATTTAATGTTAAAAATGTCGGAGTTACTCTTTCTGAAACATCTAGAAAGTAATATATTGCGGTTTGAGATGTGTAAGAAAGGGGCTTGGCTTTCTTCTGATTATATTGTAGATCCAGTTGAAACAGGACGCTTACAGGCCTGAATACTGGAGCTGTGTAACGTTTCATTTCCTGATCTCGGGGAGGGTTTTGGTGCTAGTAATAAATAATAATAGTAATAATAATAAAATGCTTTATTACATGGTCTATTTACATTACATTGTGTTGGAAAACCTACAGA